AAAAAAAAAAAAAACCCAGGAGAATAAGAACAGATATGAATTTCCTCAACTTGATTTTTAAAAAACCTATGAAAAACCTATAACGAACATCATATTTAATGGTGAAAACCCAAAAATTTCCCCACTAAGGTAAGAAACAAGGCTAGGATATTCCTTATCATCACCTTTATCCAACATCATACTAGAAGTCCTAGTCCTACAATAAGTCAGGGAAGAGAAATAAAAATTATACAAATTTGAAAGGAAAAAAAACACTTTGTAGATGACACGAATGTTTGTGTAGAAAATCCCCATAAATTGTGAAAAAATATAAAATTCTCCAATTATAATAAAAATTAGAGCAAGGTTGCAGTAAACACCATTAATATACAAAAATCAATGGCTTACCTATAAACCAGTGATGAACAACTGAGAACTGAAATAGGGGCTCTTGGGTGGCTCAGTCAGTTAGGTGTCCGACTCTTGGTTTCAGCTCAGGTCATGATCTCACAGTTCATGAATTCAAGCCCCACATCAGCCTCTGTGCTGACAGTGTGGAGTCTGCCTGGGATTCTCTCTCTCCCCCTCTCTCTCTGACCCTCTTACATGCTCTCTCTCTCTCTCTCAATCAATCAATCAATAAACTTACAAAAAAGAAAATTGAAATAAAAACCATAATACTATTTATATTGGCACTAAAAAGTTAAATGCTTAAGTTATAAATCTAATAAAATACATATAAGATCTACATGAGGAAATTACAAAACTCTGATGAAAGAAATCAAAGAAGATCCAAACAAATTTTCAAGGATAGGAAGTCTCCATATTGTTAAAATGCCAATGTTTTATAATTTGATCTATAGCTTCAGTGCAATCCTAGTCAAAAAATCCCACCAAGTTATTTTATTGACATTGACAAACTGATTCTCAAGTTTTTATGGAGAGGCAAAAGAACAAGAATAGCTAACACGACGCTGAAGAAGAATAAGACTGACACTACCCAATTTTAAGAATTACTATAGAACTACAGTTAATCAAGACAATGGGATATTGGTGAAAGAATAGATAAATTGATCAGTGTAACAGAATAGAGCTCAGAAACAGACCCACACAAATACATTCAACAGATATTTGACAAAGGAGCAAGAAAACTCAAGGGAGTCTTCAACAAATGAACAATTGGTCATCCATATGTTTAAAAAATGTAAACACAGAATTTATGCCTTTCACAAAAATTAACTGAAATGAACCTCAATATAAAATACAAAACTAGGGGCGCCTGGGTGGCTCAGTCGGTTGGGCGTCCGACTTCAGCTCAGGTCATGATCTCGTGGTCCGTGAGTTGGAGCCCCGTGTCGGGCTCTGTGCTGACCACTCAGAGCCTGGAGCCTGTTTCGGATTCTGTGTCTCCCTCTCTCTCTGACCCTCCCCCATTCATGCTCTGTCTCTCTCTGTCTCAAAAGTAAATAAACGTTAAAAAAAATAAATAAAATAAAATACAAAACTATACATTTTTCTGAGACAACATAGAAAACCCAGGTGACCTTGGGTTTGGTGATAAATCTTTGGATACAATACCAAAAGCACAATTTGAAAAAGAAAAAAAAAATGTTAAATTGAACTTTATTAAATTAAAGGATTAAATATGAAGGATCAAGAAAATGAAGAGACAAGCCTCAAAATGGGAGAAAATTTTGCAGAATACTTACCTGATAAAGGACTTAATTTATCATAATTCACAAAATACAACAATAAGAAACAGTCCCATTTAAAAAATAACATAGGGGCGCCTGGGTGGCGCAGTCGGTTAAGCGCCCGACTTCAGCCAGGTCACGATCTCGCGGTCCGTGAGTTCGAGCCCCGCGTCGGGCTCTGGGCTGATGGCTCAGAGCCTGGAGCCTGTTTCCGATTCTGTGTCTCCCTCTCTCTCTGCCCCTCCCCCGTTCATGCTCTGTCTCTCTCTGTCCCAAAAAAATAAATAAACGTTAAAAAAAAATAAATAAATAAATAAATAAATAAAAAATAACATAAAATTCAATTAGACCCTTCACCAAAGAAGATATAAATCTACCAATAAATATATGAAAAACTGTTCAACATCACATGTCATTAGGGAATTGCAAATTAAAGCAATAATGAGATGGGGCGCCTAGGTGGCTCAGTCAGTTAAGTCTCTGACTCTTGATTTTCGCTCATGTTATGATCCCACCATTAGTGAGACTGAGCCCCATGTTAGGCTCTGCACTATTAGTACAGTGCCTGCTTGGGATTCTCTCTCTCCCTCTCTCTCTGCCTCTCCTCTACTGGTATGCTCTCTTTCTCTCTTTCTCTCTCTCAAAATAAATGAATAAACATTAAAAGAAACAATAATGAGATACCACTACACATCTATTAGAACAGCTAAAAAGTTTTAAAAAGTAAATAGTATCAGGGGCACCTGGGTGGCTCAGTCAGTGAAGTGTCCAACTTTGGCTCAGGTCATGATCTTATGGTTCATGGGTTTGAGCCCCACATTGGGCTCTGTGCTGATAGCTCAGAGCCTGGAGCCTGCTTCTGATTCTGTGTCTCCCTCTCTCTGCCCCTCCCCTGTTCATTCTCTCTCTCTCTCTCTCTCTCTCTCAAAAATAAACATATAAAGAATTTTTTTTAAAGTAAACAGTATCAAATACTGATAAAATGAGGAGCAACAGAAGCATTCACCTGCGTTGCTGGTGGTAATACAAAATGGTACAACCGCTTTGGAAAACAGTTTCATAGTTTCTTAAGTCTTAAGCATACCCTTACTATATGACCCAGCAACCGTACTCCTAGGTATTTACCCAAATGAGGTGAAAAGTTATGTCCACACAAAAACCTACACAGGAATGTTCATAGCAGCTTTGTTCACAGTCACCAAAAACTAGAAGCAACAAAGAAATCCTTCAATAAATAAATAAATACATTGTGGTACATCCATATAATATTTTCTAGTGAAAAATAAATGAGCTGTCAAGTCATGAGTTGGCACACAGGAACCTTAAATGTATATTGTTTAGTGAAAGAAGCTAGTGTGAAAAAGCTACATATTGTATGATTGCAACTATATGACATATTGGAAAAGACAAAACTATAGACAAAATAAAAAGATCAGCGATGGTCAGAGAAATGGAGTGAGAAGGAATGATGAGTAGGTGGAGCACAGGGGATATTTAGGTCAATGAAACTATTCTATATGAAACTGTAATGACCAATACATATTGCATTTGACAAAACTCATAGAACTGTACAACACAAGGAGTGAACCTTGATGTAAATTATGGATTTCAGTTAATAATAATGTATCAATATTGATTCATCAATTGTAACAAACATACCACACTATTGCCAGATGTTAGGAATAGGGGAAACTGCACCAAGGGCTGGGGGAGGGATGAAGGAAGAAATTAGAAGGATCTCTCAGTACTCTCTACTCAATTTTTCTCTAACTCTAAACCTGTGCTTCAAATGTCTATTACGTTTTCAAAATCTAAAGCTCTCTTAAAAAAAAAAAAAAATGGGGCGCCTTGGTGGATCGGTCAGTTAAGCGTCTGACTTCAGCTCAGGTCATGATCTGGCAGTCCATGAGTTCGAGCCCCACATCGGGGCTCTGTGCTGACAGCTCAGAGCCTGGAACCTGCTTCAGATTCTGTGTCACCCTCTCTCTCTGCCCCTCTTCTGCTCATGCTCTGTCTCTCTCTCTCTCTCAAAAATAAACATTAAAAAAAAATTTTTTTTAAAGAGCCCATGAGAGAAAATAATTTCTCCTTGTGAACTGAGCTAGGGTCTTACACATTCAAAAATGAAAATCATGGCCCTTTTTCCCTCAAACGTAATGGCTAACATACAACCTGTACATTCAAAGTTTAAATAGAATAGAAACACTTCTTAAACCAAATATGGGCCATATTTAACTTTTTTTCTATGTATTTGCATTATAAAACCTCAGAGGCAAAAGGGACTTTAGAGGTGATCTAATAATGCTACGAGTTTTTATCTGACTCTCCTTTACACACTCAATAAATCCGATCATTTACCTCTGCTGCCTTTTTCTATTTTTTATTTTTTCCCTTTTCCTACTTATGGTCTCCCCTATCCCCTTAATTGGCCATAATGCTAAACTAGAGTATACTTTTATTTTGTATTATAGTTCTTGAATATGGTTCTATTATTCCTTTTTGCTTTTTAAAACACACCCATATACACAAGAAATAAAAGACCCACAAATTGAGACATTTTTCTTTTAGGACCTTCCACTTACACTTTTTTGTGTGTGTCAATGGCCTTAATAGAGGTGGAGTACGTATATCCAATTTTGAAGTCCCAATGTAATTTTTCAGCCTAAGATTGATGTTTTTCTTAGCAATTTTTCATAGGAAAAATTTTAGCTTCTAAAAGCAAAACTACTATATGGACATTAACATTTAAGCAACAAACAACGTTTCTTTAGTGCTAACTAATAATTCATTCTTCCCCCTCATTGTTCTCTGGGAAAATAAACTGGTCTTCATGGTAAACAACTTTCAGTAAAACATGGCTATAGTCTACATGACTATATAATTTAAATATAATTTTAAAAACCAAAAGAATATTGGTGACATATTTAACATATGTCATAACATATATGAAAGAGAGCTTAAGAGCAAGTAAGCAACAGAGAAAGATAGACTCTTTGAAGCTCTTGACAGGTATCCAAGAAAAATTAAATTTTTCAGTTCAGAGTCCAAGATGATGTGAAAGACTAACAATGCTATTTCTGAATAAAAGTTGTATTTTTCACGTTTCACCAGAAATGAAGTATTGTGACTGCCAAGAAAGAATTTACTTACAATGACGTGTGAAAACGTCGCTTTTTAAAAACTGAGATAGTGCTTGCTGAGGCAGCACGTACAGTAATGTTAGAATGATACAGAGAAGACTAGCATCTTGTGCAAAGATGACACACACATTCGCGACACATCCCATTAAAAAAAAAAAAAAACTGAAATAAATGAAACCTTACCTTTTTCTGTAGTACTCCCCGGCACTCTTTGCTCTCGATCTTTAGAAGGTACATTTGCTTTACCACATGAATCAAGGATAGATTGTTTTGCTGGTAAAGATGAAAGCTCCATAGCAATATAAGAATCATGCAAATCCCAAGCAGTGGACATTATACCTAAGTAAAGAGATAGGTAAAAATTAGTTTCAACCAAGTTCTAATAGTTTAGGTTATACACAACTAGTTATAGAAAAATCTCTCCGTGTTTTAATGATTAACTCCAAGTTGTCCTCACCATCCTTTTTGATACCCTCTCCTTTCTCCCTTCCATCCCAAGCTGATGCAGCAGAATCCCATCAGTCTGTCGCTATAGGTCTTGCTTAATATGGACCTGGACAACCGTGTCATAATAAGCATTTAGCATTCTTTCACTTCTGGTTAATATGTTTATATTCTGTAGAACTTTTAATTTATAATAATATAATCTCATTTTTAGCACATAACATCTCCTATATACTTAATGTGAAAAGATTATACTTGCTGGGAAAATGTAGATTCTGTTCTCAAGAAATTTGTAAGGTAGTAGGGTTATTATCTTCTCTTTCAAAAATTTGTGTTTACATTATATTTGTTCATTTGAGCAAATATAACAACAGTCTCCAAGCAAAAATTGGCAATATTATTTATCTCCAAATAAAAAAAAGAATTCCAACCTTTCATTATTGATATAACAAAGAAAGGCTCATGTAGCAATTACTTTATCAGTGACCATATTCCTAAGGCTAAACTTGCTAAATTTTTAAAGTCCAGTGATTTACTAAAGAATTATTTTCCCTAAAAATCAAAACAAGATCTGGATATAATAAATGCAACCACCTCATTGTTAAAACTTTTATGTTCATGATACAAAGTGAAGGAGCTCTGGTATTTCAAAATGTTTTCAATCAGCAAGAATATTAACTCACATTTCATAGTAACATTTCTATTTTATTAAACCTAGTTATATTTAACAAAGTTATACACAGAATACCTAGCTTATTTCGCTAATTGAAAAGGGTACAATTTCCATGTTCATAAAGTAAAATACCATAGGAGGTAATTGTGTCTTTCTATGTTGAACTACTTAAACTTTTTTCTTCCTTTAACTGAAAGTTTAGTAATTTGAGTAAATAGGAATATACTGTTATGTGATCACTAATAATTGCTACATAAATAAAGGTACATGTTATAAATTACATGAGCAATATAAAATGTTAGGGTGATTTCAAGTTTTTTCTTATTTGAGAATAACAAATAACATGGGTAATTTTAGTTTGGGTACCATCATGACATTTGTACATTTGAATAAATTAACCTAAGAAATAAAAAAATCTCAAACCACATGCCATAATAACATGTACAAAATAAAACAATAAATAATGAATGTTTTTTCGTTTTTTGTTTGTTTAAGTTTTTATTTAAACTCAAGATAGTTAACATACAGTGTAATATTAGCTTCAGGTATACAATTTAGTAATTCAACACTTCCCTGCAACACCTTGTGCTCATCACAAAAGGTGCATTCTTTTTTTTTTTTTTTTAATTTTTTTTTCAACGTTTTTTATTTATTTTTGGGACAGAGAAAGACAGAGCATGAACGGGGGAGGGGCAGAGAGAGAGGGAGACACAGAATCGGAAACAGGCTCCAGGCTCCGAGCCATCAGCCCAGAGCCTGACGCGGGGCTCGAACTCACGGACCGCGAGATCGTGACCTGGCTGAAGTCGGACGCTTAACCGACTGCGCCACCCAGGCGCCCCTGGGTGCATTCTTTAATCCCCAACCTTAATCACCTACTTAACCCATCCCCCTACCCAACTCCCCTCTGATGACAATCAGTTTGCTCTCTACAGTTAAGAGTCTGTTTCTTGAAGAAAAAGAAAAAAAGCATGATTGTGACTTCCCAATTTTATACTGTTTTTTATACTAAAGAAAGTTTTAACTAATATCAGAAAAAAAGCACCCAACTATATCTGTGTTTTGAGCGTTTCTGAGTCCAGAATATGCCGAAACGGTTTTTACCCATTTTAAAATATTGTTTCTCTCTATTAGTTTAACTCAGACTATAAAAGAATAGCAATTAGCCGTATAACATTTGCAGAAAAATTTTATATTTTAGCTGAGTAAAAAGATATTCTTACTGTGAAAAAAGAAAAGAAAAATATGACATATTTCCATCACCCAAAGATAATAACTGCTAACATTTTGGTCTATGTCCTTCCAGAGTCACATATGAACAAATAGATATGTGTATTTTTTATAATAGAAATGAGCTCTTATCATGCTTTTTAAAAAAATTTTTTTAGAGAGAGAATGCATGTGCAAGTGGGTGGAGAGGGGCAGAGGGAAAGAAAGAATCTTAAGCAGGCTCCATATTCAGTGCAGAGCCTGACCTGGGTCTCAATCCCACGACTCCAGGATCATGACCTGAGCCAAAATGAAGAATGGGATACTCAACTGACTGAGCCACCCAAGAGCCCCTACACATGTTTTTATAAAAGACATTATTGTAGTATAATATCCACAGAAAACAAGCTGGTGTTATGAAATCTGCAAAGATTTATTGAATTATACACTTATTGAATTATCTATTTATTCGAAATGCCACTTTTATAATAAACTACTATATGTATATTGTCAGGTGGAAACTTTTCCTTCACTCTCTGTGAATCTTTACAGAGGGAACTTCAGCTAAATTAACACCTTGACCTCACTATAGCCCTCATTCGCTCACTGCGGAGAAAAGTGACTAATCCTATAGGACAGTTTAGAAGGCATTGTGCTTAGCCACTTCCAGATTCTTTTGTTAGGTCTGTTCAATGGCAGAAAGCAGGCTTCCTGGTCTGGTCTCACCCCTAAAAAAGAAGGTCTGTGCTGGTCTAGCTGTGTTAATTACTACTGGTAAGATCTATTCTGAAAGGAAGAAATGCCAATTCCACTTAGCTGCAGATTTAAGACTACATTTTTTCAATTAACTTTATCAGTAATAAAGCTAATATTTGACTTCCATCTCTCTGACTCCCGAATCTCTTTCAATGTCATCCCAAATCAGGCAAGGAAGACATATTCTTTTTTTACTGATCCATAAGACTTTAATATTTAATTGGTCTGCACTGAAATTTTTGAATATGGACTATCTCTCATTATTTTTAACTAAACTTTTCTATGAAATACTATCATTCATAGAAGAGTGTATAACACTTACATGTGTAAAGAATTACTACCATGTACTTACCAGCCAGGATAAGAAATAGAACATCTCCAGGTGATTAGAAGCCTCCTAGACACTCTTCTATCATAGCCCACCTCCTTCTGGCTACCTCAAACAGAAGCACATCCACTTTTCCTAACTTTTGGAATGGTCATACTCTTGCTTTGCTTTAAAAGGTTTCTCTCCTGTGGTAGATGCTGTTAGTGTCCTGCCCGTATCTGTTATGCATTACCTCTTATTGGTCAATCTCCAACTGCCAGCACCTATATTGTTTTGCTTGGGGCCATCTTTGACCACTAGGGCCACTTTGATGTGCACAAATCAGGCCAGAAGTACCAAGGAACTAACAAGCCCATCAGCCTTCAAAAAATGATTTAGAAAGTTGGAGCATGATAAGATAACTCTGGCTCCCAGATTCTCTAGCAGTATTGAACTCGTTACCCAAAGAGGTAATTTGTTAGATCACATAACCTTTGTTGGCTGCCTACCCTTTCTTGTTTCACTTACTCCCCTACCAGTGTTTCTTAGGATTACCTCCAGAATAAACTATGTGCACTCAGATTCTTTCTGCAGAGGTTTCTTCTTAGAAAACCTCAGGTAAGGCTCTCTGATATATGTATACCTACACAATATATACTCTAGTTTTAAAAACTGAATAGCAAACACTATCACAGATGAATAAAAAGAGAACAAAATCACTACTATTAGAGGAGGACTACTAAAGGAGGACTCTCAGGAGAAGATCATCAGAACAGTCTGGGTCACATTCTGACTTCAGCTTCCCTGAGAGTTTACAAGAGCCACTTATGAAGAAATCACATGGTGAGATCATGAATGTGTCCTTGGAAACACAGAACTTAATCTTCAGAGGGCACCTGACAAGCTGGGCATCGAATATCCAATGAAAGTATGGTTAGGTAAGTGGGATGTTCTATATTTTCTTTTCATCATGTCTTCTCTGCAGCAGTCAGGGTAAAACAGAACATGTCTGGGCAGGGAAGGATTTCTAGGAATGTGTCTATTTCATTTAGCTATTTAATTTATTGGCATACAAATGTTCACTTTTTTTAATAATCTATTTTATTTCTGTAAGGTCCTCACTTCCACTTTTCATTTTAGTAATTTGAATCTTCTCTTATTTTTCTTTAGTCAATCTGACTAAAGTTTTGTCAGTTTTGTTGATCTTTTCAAAGTACCAACTTTTAGTTTCATTAGTTTTTCTCTATGTCCACTCTAATCTTTAGTATTTCCTTCCTTATGCTGGCTTTTGGTTTAGTTTTATCTTATCTCATTCTTAATGTGTAAAGTTAGATTATTGATTTGAGACTTTTATTATTTTTTTTATTGAAGTATAGTTGACACATAATGTTACATTAGTTTCAGGTGGGGATCTTCTTTTTTAAATGTATCTGCAGCTGTAAATTTCTCTCTAAGCACTACTTTCACTATATAAGTTTTGTTATGTTTTATTTTCATTTTCATTCATCTCATCTCAAAATATTTTCTAATTTCCCTTGTGCTTTCATCTCTGATGCACTGGTTGCTTAAAAGTGTGTTGTTTGGGGTGCCTGGATGGCTCAGTTGGTTAAGTGTCCCACTTCGGTTCAGGTCACGATCTTGTGATTTGTGAGTTTGAGCCCCGCGTCCGGCTCTGTGCTGAGAGCTTAGAGCGTGGGGCCTGCTTCAGATTCTGTGTCTTCCTCTCTCTCTGCCCCTCCCCTCTCCCCCCCCTTTCTCTCTCAAAAATAAACATTAAAAAATCATTTAAAAGTGTGTTGTTTAATTTCTAAATATTTTTAAATTTCCCAGTTTTCCTTTTGTTATAGGGTTTTAATGTCATTAAGTGTGGTCAGAAAAGATATTGACTTAAAAATTTTTATTACCTCTTGTTTATTACCTAACATAATGGTGTATCTTGGAGAGTTTTCCATGTGAACTTGAGAAAAAAAATGTGTTTTCTGATGTTTGGGGATGGTGTATATGTCTGTTATGCCTAGTTTATATTATTATTCAAGTCCTCTATTTTCTTTCTCATTGATAATCTCTCTGGCTGTTCTGCCCATTATTGAAAGTGGGGTACTAAAGTCCCAACTCTTATTGTAGAACTTCCTATTTTCTCCCTTCAATCCTATCAATTTTTGCTTCATATAGTTGGAGGCTCTCTTGTTGAGTACATATGGGTTTATAATTGTTATATCTTGTTTATGGATTGAATTTTTTATCAGTATATAATGCTGCTTGGCTCCTGTAATAATTTTATATAAAGTCTACTATGTCTGATATTAGTAAAGCCCTCTCAGCTTTTTTTGGTTGCTATTTACATCCTTTCACCTTACATATTTTTGTCTGTGGCTCTAAAGTGAGTCTTTTATTAGACAGCATATACTTGGATCATGTTTAGTTTTTGTTTTTTAACCCATCCTACCAATATCTGCCTTTTAATTGGAGAATTTAATCTACTTATTTAAAACAATTACTATTCAGGAAGGATTTCTTCCATTTTTATCTTCTTTATGTCTTATGTGTTTGTTCCTCAATTCTTTCATTACTGCCTTCTTTTGTGTTTACTTGATTTTTTAATGGTGTTCTGCTTTGATTCCTATCTAATTTTCTTTTTTGTAATTTTTGAGTTATTTTCTTGGTGGTTGCCTTGCAGATTACAATTAATTTCTTAAAATTTTAACCATCTATTTTGAATTAATACTACCTTACTTCAATAGTATACAAGAACTCCTATACAGCTCCATCACACCCACTTTGTGTTGATGTTGTCACAAATTACATCTTAATATACTGTGTGTCCATTTGTATAGTTTTATAATTAGTTTTATGCATTTATTTTAAATTATATTGCAAAAATAGTGGAGATACAAACCAAAATTATAATGCTGACTTTTGTATTTACCTATGTAGTTACCTTTCCAGTGCTCTTCATTTCTTCATATGACTTCAAGTTATTGTCTGGTGTCCTTTCATTTCTGCCTGAAGGAGTCCCTTTAGCATTTCTTATAAGGCAATTCTACTAATTCTGCTAAATTGTCTTGGCTTTTGTTATCTGGGAATGTCTTATTGTCTCCTTCATGGGAAAGTATTTAATCTTAATTATTTAATTTCTCCCTCATGAGGATTATTTGAAGGATATAGAATTCTTGGTTGACAGTTTTCTCTTTCATCTCTTTAAGTATGGCATCCCACTGACTTCTGAACTCCATGGTTTCTGAGAAATTGGGTGTAATCTTTTTTTTTTTTAAATTTTTTTTCAACTACTTTTGGGAGAGAATGACAGAGCATGACGGGGAGGGGCAGAAGAGAGCCAGAATCCGCAGGCTCCAGGCTCTGACCATAACCCAGAAGCTCCAAGACTGCGGGAAGCTCACGGACGTCACGACGCGAATGTGACCTGGCTTGAAGTCGGAGAACCACACGCGCCTGACCCAGGTTCTCATGTGCCTATTGATGGTACCCTGACACAAGTGCAATTTTTTTTTTTTTTTGCTGTTTTCAAGATTCTCTTTCAACATTTAATTATAATGTGTCTGAATGTGGATCTCTTTGTTTATCTTTTTGGGAGTTTGCTGAGCTTCTCAGATACGCAGATTCATGACTTTTATCAAATTTGGGAAGTTTTTTGGCCATTATTTCTTCAAATATTTTGTGTTCCCCTTATCTCTTTTTTCTCCTATCATTCTGAAATTCCCTTTCTGTGTATATTGGTATGCTTGGTGGAGCCCCATAGGTCCTTCAGGCTGTGTTCAGTTTTCTTTATTCTTTTTTCTTTCTTCTCCTCAGACTAGATCATTTCAATTGACATGTCTTTAAGAATTGCAGATTCTTTCTTCTGCCTGCTCAAATCTGCCACGGATAACTCTAGTATTTCCATTTCAGTTATTGTACTTTTAATCTCCAGAATTTATGTTTGGTTTCTTTTTATAATTCCTGTCCCTTTATTCATATTCTTTTTTTTTTCCATACACCATTCTTGTTTGCTTTAGCTCTTTGCCCATAGTTTCCTTTAGCTTTATCAGAACGTTTGATACAATTGATCTAAAGTCTTTGGCTAATAAATACAATGTCTGTACTTCCACAGGGAGAGTTTCAGTTAATTTATTCTTCAAATGGGCCATATTTTCTTATTTCTTTCTATCCTTTGTAATTTTTTTTGAGAACTGAACACTTTGAATATAATAATGTGGTAACTCTGGAAATCAGATTCTTCTTGCTCCTTGGAGTTTGTTTTTGTAGTTTGCTGTGAGTACTCGTTGTTTGTTTGCTTAGTGATGTTTCTAAACTATTTTTATAAAGTCTGTATTCTTTGTCATGTATCATCGCAGAAGCTTTTGGTCAGCAAGTGTCATGACAGAGATCTCCTTGAATACCTGAATTCCTCCACCCTCCCCGACCAGTCCATCAGAAAAAAACAAGACAGAAAAGAAAAAGAAAAGAAACAGACAAACAAAGGATAAAAAACCTCTCTGGGTCTTTGTAGAGTGGGTCAATGTTAAGGTATTCCTTTAATGCTTAACCAGGCTGTTTATATCTATGCCTTAGCCTTCACTTCCTGCCTGTACTAAGCCTGAGATCAGCCAGAGGGGAAAGCTTAGGATGTTTTCAAGTCTTTCCTGAGCTTGCATCTTGTCCTAGGCATGCACATGACTTTCTAAATTTCCCTATATATACAAGCCTTTTTTAATATCTTAATTTCCCAAAGATCTCCCTCCCTAGTGTTTTCTCTCAGGCTTACAGTGTGTTTCTTGTTTGACTCCATTGTATTCTTTTGCCTCTAAGAGAGATGAGTTGTTCATTTACTTTGCAATATTTGTTGAGAATGCAATATGCACAGCTGCTTTACCACCTGTGTGTCCTGAGTTAAAAAACAAAACAAAACAAAACAAAAACAAGTGCTCTGGGTCAGTCCTTCAGGTATTCCCAGGCAGGTTAAAACAAAGAAGCCAAATCCTTTGAGAGTAAGGTCTGCTCTGCTTCTCTGGAACCAAAGGCCAGGGTCTCAAACTGGGAAGGCAGGCTGTTGCCTTTAAGACCATCACCACACTGAGAAGGGGAGTAGGGCAAGAGTGAGTAAGAATGCCACAAAACTTTCCTACTAATTATAAGTTACCCTTGGCTTGACTTAGCATTTGCTTAGAAGTTTTATTTTAATCTTTTCAAAGAACTAGCTTATAATTTTGCTGAATAACAAAAGCCATTAAAATTAATAACTTTTACCTAATTACCTTTCTGGCCCTACCTCACAGAATTTTTGGCTATGCAGGGTTATGAATTTATGAACATTGAGAGACAGTAAGTGTAGTACAGAGCACAGGTTCTAGAACCAGACTGTCTGAGGGTATTACTGTGTGCCATACTAGCTGAGTGAAGTTGGTCAAGTTAGCTAACTTCTCTTTGCTTATTTCTGCCTCCAAAAACGGAGAGTAACAATAGTACCTACCTCATTGTGTTGTTGTGAGAATTAAACCAGTTAATAAATGTGGAAGGCCTAGAATAGTGTCTGGCACATTTTAAATGTTATTAGTTATGGTTAAGCAATCAGTTTCTCTAAATGTTTCATAAACATTTGAAGAGTACAAAATTCTATAATAGAGTTTCTATAAATATCAAAATTATAATTATGTTATCGAAATCATCTATATTTATATTTATTACTCATTATTTGTCAAGTTCTAAAAGCTATAGATTACAGGACCTAGCTGCTATTGTGATTTGACCAAAGTATTTCTATCTTTACTTCATATATTTCAACATTTATTTGTTAACTGACAGACTCAAAGAATGTATATTAAAATATGTACTTTATCAAGCAGAATGAAATATAAATTACCTTTGTCTTCTTTTACGATTTTGTCACACTGAACATCTTTATTCTTTGGTGCTCCATTAATAGTCTGCATCATCCTTTCAGCATATAAATCATTGCCTAATCTATTTCTACAAAGGGTCTCATAATTCTTGTTTCTCCACCTATAAAAAATAAAGTATATTCAACTCATTAATAAAAATTATTGCCATGGATATTATCTCTTTATATTATGCCTTCTCTTTAAAATTACTTTCTTTAATGTGGATTTCACCAAATGTGAAGTGAGAGTTCAAAAAACTCCTTAGGAAAAGACTGCACTTGGAGCGCCTGGGTGGCTCAGTCGGTTAGCATCCGACTTCAGCTCAGGTCACGATCTCGTGGTTCATGAGTTTGAGCCCCCGTCGGGCCCTGTGCTGACAGTCCAGAGCCTGGAGCCTGTTTCAGATTCTGTGTCTCCTTCTCTCTCTGCCCCTCCCCCCACGTGTGCTCTGTCCCTCTCTCTCAAAAATAAACATGACAAAGAAAAGAAAAGACTGCACTAAACTACCTCCAAAAGACTCTACTTACAATACCTCCCAGCATCGTTACTACTTTCAGTGCCCAACGACATACTGGCACTATCTTCACACAGTTTTTATGAACTCTGCTATAAACACTGAAAGCTATAAATTTCCTTCAGAGTAGTACATTTGTGCCATCCTGTAGGTATGTGCTATTTTAATAATTATTTACTTCTGAGTATTTCTTAAATTCCAATTAAGATTTCTTCTTTGGTTCATAAGGAATTTAGAAAATGTGCTTTTTAACCTCCAAATGTGTATCTGAATGGGTGTCTGTGTTTTAATTGAGATTTATGTTATTAATTTTTAACTTAATTCTATTTGTGGTCAGAGAATTGAGTTTGTATGATACTATTTCTTTGGAATTTTTGAAACCTTGTTTCATGGTCTTGTGCATGAATGATTTTTAAAAATAATTGGTGTGTGCTTGAAGAGTGTGTATTCTCTATTGAATGCAGAGTTTTATATGTGATCATTAAATTATGTCTTTGGTTCAAATTTTCTGTATCTATGTGAATTTTATATCTGGTTGACATACAGTAATTAAGAGAAGCAAGTTTAACACACCTACTTATACTTTAACAAGTTTCTAATTTTTGCTTCATGTACGTTGAGGTTATTTTATTAGGAGTATTCAAGATTAAAATTATTATACCTTCCTATCATTATAAAGTGATCTTCTTTGTCCCTAGTAATGCTGTTGGTTTAATTATTTCTCTGTAGATGATTTTTTTTCTTTTTTCCTTCTGTTTTTAAAATCTTCTTTTGGGGGTGCCTGGGTGGCTCAGTCAGTTAAGCATCCAACTTTAGCTCAGGTCATGATCTTACGGTTTGCAGGTTTGGAGTCCTGCATCGGGATCTCTGCCGTCAGCAGGGAACCCACTTTGGGTCCTCTGTCCCCCTCTCTCTTTCTCTGCCTCTCCCCCACTTGCTCTCTCTCCATCTCAAAATAAATAAACACTGATAAAAAAAAATAAAAAGTAAAATCTTTGCTTAGTATTTGGTATTCTGGAGTATCAATATAATGCACCAAGTGCATTTCTTTTTTGTGGATTTCTTTTTATTCATTCATTTCTGTAAAATGGTGTCTTAATAGCTTGGGAACATCCTTACCCACTCTCTTCGAATAGTTCATCTCCTCCATTCTTCGTATTTTGATATTTTGGAACAAACCAGGTGCATTTTAGACCTTTATTCTATTGTCAATTTCTTTTTTTAACTTCTCTTTCATACTTTACATCACATTTTTCTTTCCAAGGTTTATTTTGTAGAATTTATCCAGATCTATGTTTCAATTTATTAAATCTGTTTGATTATGTCTTGTTTAAATTCAATGTTTTCTGTTTTACTTCAACAATTATATAAATATACTTTATTTTAAAGTTCTTTTTAGATGTTTTTGCAAATATGAGTCATCGTTTTGATAGTTTCTTGATGTTAGTGAGGTGTTAACACTATCTTTTATTTAAATATTTCACATATATTTTATATTCTATATCTCATAATAGAGTCCTAATATCTCATTATCCATAGTCCTCAGGGTATAGATCTCTGGTCTGTTATTTCTTTTAATTCTCATTCATAGTACTTTTTTATTGGTTTGGTGTATTTTTTACCAAACTCAATCTGAGGGAATCTTGAGTCTAAATGGGATATGCTTTCCTCCAGAGAAAATTCATGTTTGCTTATGATATTAGCTTTGAAACCTGGGATCACTTGAGATAACTGAAATCCTTTTAAGGATTTTGCTTAATACAAAAATGTCTCTTTTAGTTCTCTTAATTTGTGGGGGTCCAAGGCCTGCTGGACTCTAGATCCGTGTGTTAATTTTAACATTTGCTTCTAGCATCTCTCCATCTCTGATTTCAGATCACTTATCTATCCATTTGTTATTTGCTCCTTTCCTTTTTCTGGTGTTAAGAGCTTTCCCTTATGTCTTAAGAATTTCAAAGTGTGTTATTCAGGATCTACTTGTACTATATTTTATAGTCCAAATAATTCTAGGATATTTTATATTTGGGTAAGAATAATATCCTAAAAATATTTTAAAGATAGATTTTTAGTACTTTGAATCATATTCAAATTATATTTGAATCTAAATAATCTGAATAACTATATTAATAATGTATATATATTTTTTTATTTTTGAAAGAGAGAGCGTGAGCACAGGAGAGGGGCAGAGGAATAAAGAGAGAGAGAATCTCAAGCAGGCTCCAGGCCCAGCACCTGGGATCAACAACACAAGCTGAAATCAAAAGTGGGACACCCAACTGACAGAACCACCCAGGCACCCCAAAAATCTGTTTACAGTAGCTAAATTAATTTCAGACAGAGCAGACTTCAGAGCAAGGCAAATTATCAGAGGGGCATTATAGAGGGGCATTACATAATGATAAAGGGATCAATTCTCCCAAATTCTCCCAAAAAGGCATAACAATCCTTAATGAGGCAAAATAAATGAGGCAAAAACTAATGATCTATTTGAATTCATTAATAAGGAGCAATGGAAAATCTGCTCTAATATAGTAAATTCAGTTATTTTCCAATAACATATTTTTACTTAAGTCTTGAATATAAAAATGTCAGGCCTTTCTTTTTATTTTTTTATTTTTATTTTTATAAAATGTTTTATTTATTTATTTTGAGGGAGAGAGAGAGGGAGAGCATGACTGGGGAAGGGGCAGAGAGAGAGGGAGACAGAATCCCCAGCAGGCTCCACACTGTCAGTACAGAGCCCCATGCTGGGCTTGATCCCACAAACTATGAGATCATGACCTGAGCCAAAATCAAGAGTCAATCGCTTAACCTACTGAGCCACCCAGGCACCCCTTTCTTTTAAACTGGAAATAACTTACATATGCATAAAAGAAAAAAAATATCATTAAAACCTTTATTGAGACTTGGAAGCTTCCTTTATTTCTTTTATTATTTGACTTAGTAGTGTACCCATTTCTTAAAGAGTATGGTAAACCTATGGGTTCTTTCTCTAGAAAAAAGTACATACAACATAAATAGTTTTCAAAAAAACCCCACAAACACTTTTCATATCATTTCATAAGGCACATATATAACTTTATATAGAACTTCACCAAGCACATATGCCACCAGTATTTATCCAGGAATGCCCCCAAACAGAAACAAGGATAGGAACCTCTGACTTAGCATTTAAATTACAGAAGCAATATAGACAATTGAGCCATACATACCTTACTTTCATAGCTTCTTCAGATTCTACAGAAACCATGACTGTCGGTAGGTTAAAAAATCTCAGTGTTTCCGTCTCTGTGAGTATTATCTCTATAGTCTTTTCTAGGTCTTCTTTTGTTACAATTTTTCCAGGTGTTGCCCTCACAACTCGTAAATCTAAAATACACGATTTTATAAAAATCATTTACTAATTGCTATTTTAATTATCATTTTACCAAAATATGATGGGTCATATATTGCAGGTGGCTTTTATGTGGTCAAAGAACAGACCATATTGTGAGATGTATTCAATCCCTTCAGAGGGATTCAATCCCTCTGAGTCTGGGGAAGATTACATTAATAATCCAATGCTCCTTGTCTATCTCTGAGAGGATGATCTTCCCTCCTGCAGCAGACACTGCTGATTGCCAAGTTTTCATTGGTAAGGCTTTCCCCCTTCCCTTGCCTCTTTCCATTAAGAAAATCAAGTGTTTAGTTTCCTAGCCTCTCTTGAAGCTAGGGGTCACCATGTGACAGAGTTCTGGGCAATGAGATAACAGTAGAAATACATAGGAAAGAAGACTTTCCTGGGGAAACTTTTACTTTCCTGATAAATAAAAGTGATATGGCTGGAGCTATTGCCTTTCTCCTTTCTGCTTTTAATGTGCATATAATATCCAGAGCTGGGGCAGATATTTTGAGACCATGAAGCAAGAAGGAAGAAGAAAAGGCTTAAGGAAAGAGAACAGCAGAGTCGCCAATCTAGAGTCTCACAGTTAAGCCACAGGATCCGATCCAAAAGCTATCTACCTTTTAAGTTCTTTTAATGTGAGAAAAATAAATGATTATTTAAGCCAATGGTAGTTGGGCATTACTTGTTGTCAGAAGTATTCCTGTTACATATCTTAACACCAAAGAGTCTATGAAACACTTTTCCAACCTTATGAATATTTTCATTAATCCTTCATTATCATCTTAGCAGAAGACACATTCTTACTGCACTCCAAGGCAAGCGTTCCTCAAGTAGGTACCCACTTCACCCAGCACTTTTGATCATCCATTATTTCCTCATTTTTTTTACCTTTACTTTCATAATCCTTTACCTCATGTTTTATGTTCTGCTTGGAAGAAGCCACCCCTATTTGTTCTCCTGATAAATTATTAATCATCTTTAAAAACTCAAAAGTCAATAATGTTCTCTGTTAATTCTTTTCTTTTTTCCCACCTCAAAGGTGTTAATCTTTCCATTCAAAGTGCTCCCATCACACTCTGCATATGTCCTATTATGGCACTGATCACAGTGTAACAGAATGACTTATCTCCTGAGTTAGAAGCAGAGCACTCCTAAAAAAAATTTTTTAATGTTTATTTCAGAGAGAGAGAGAGAGAGATAGAGTGCAAGCAGGGAGGGGCAGAGAGAGAGGGACACACAGAATCTGAAGCAGGCTCCAGGCTCTAGGCTCCAGGCTCTGTGGTCAGCACAGAGCCCGATGTGGGGCTCAAACTCTTCAACTATGAGATCATGACCTGAGCCAAAGTCAGAGGCTTAACTGACTGAGCCACCCAGGTGCCCTAGAAGCAAAGCACTTCTCAAACAGGATCTGTGATTCCTGAGGCTGGTGGTACAAGATTCTCACCTTGGTAACATTGATACTACTCTGGTAATTCTCACGTAGCTACCCCTCTGGCCAGCATTTAGAAATCATTACCAGAGTTCTTTTATCTCAAGTATCTGACAAATAATATTTGCTAAAGAAATAAGGGACTGATACTGAAATAAATGATCACATTTTCATTACCTGTAAAACTAGTCAATTTTTCTCGTTTATAGGATGGTTCTTCTAGGTCTTCTGCTATTGATTCAGTAGTAGATACACTTGACTTAGAAACTATGCTGCTTCCTAAAACTGACCTTTAATAATGAAAAACAAAATTATTCATTTATTTAGATGTTCTTATGGGTAATTGAATACATGAACAAAAACATTATCATATTGAGAAATCAAATATCCTATAATCATATAAGAAAAATTGATAAAAGTAAACTACTTCTTTAAACATCAAGCTGATTTGTAATATTCCTTAAGTAAAAAGTCGTTATTAAAAAAAAGTCATTATAAATATAATTTAGGGATAAAACATGTCAAACCTATGTCCAAAGTCCTGTGTTGGATTCCCAATATATTTAGAATAAAAAGCTAAAATACAGCTTACCTATCCAGTCTCTCCATCTTCATTTATCACATTTCCCCCATCCTACCCCCTTTTTAAGTTCCTCAATCTTTTGGCACTCTCTTACTTTAGAGTCTCAGCCTAGAACATTCTTCCTTTCATTTTTCACCAATTTTCTGCTCTTCACTCAAATCCCATCTTAAATGTGATTTATTCAATTTTATAAAGGCCCTCTCAAGATTTAATTAAGAGAAAATCTATGTACTGGTTGGGAAATCAATACATTGAAGAATACAAAAATAATTTCTTTAAACATGTAAACAACATAATTTCATGATATTATATACTTTTCTCCCCTTTCTACTTATAGGTACAACTTGTCCTCAAAAAGGTAGGTACAGTGGGGGCGCCTGGGTGGCACAGTCGGTTAAGCATCCGACTTCGGCTCAGGTCATCAATCTCACAGTTCGTAAGTTTGAGCCCTGAGTTTGGCTCTGTGTTAACAGCTTGGAGCCTGGAACCTACTTTGTATTCTGTGTTTGCCTCTCTCTCTCTCTCTCTCTGCTCTTCTCTTCCCCTACTTGTGCTCTCTCTCTCTCAAAAATAGGTAAGTAAATTTTTTTTAAAGGGTAGATACAGTTTACTGGAATATTCTTTGTTTTACAGAGCACTCTTATGGCTACTGCATGCAAATTTTGAGTCAGACTCTAGAGCAGCATATTTTCTCCTAAAATGTGCTTAGTTAACTTCTGGAACTTTTAATTGGTCAAATGGAAAATTACACACTCAAATATTTCCCCATAATCTTTAGATTATTTTAGGACATACTGTTTAATTATTGCAAACATTCTGAACTTCTCTACCATAAACATTAATAAAATTTCACTTCGCTTACATAAAGTGTCTACATAACACATGCATAACATTTCATTTATAAAAAAATTATGAAACAAAAGATAAATCAAACCCTAGGAGAACATGGATTTACATGGGATATTGGGGGGAGCGGAGCTGCTTCTTCCCATAAGTTGTAGCATAAAAGAAACAGAAGAAATACGTCTGTAGGTATGTGATTAGCTTCATCTTTTGTTTCCTCAAGAAAACTTGTATAAAACCCATATATTTTCTCAGAAATGTTTGGTGTGAGTGTTGGAGAACTCTTTTTTATTCTTATTCTTTAATTTTTTTTACATTTATTTATTTTTGAGAGACAGAGCACAAGTGGGGGTGGGGGTAGTGGGCAGAGAGAGAAGGAGACACAGGATCTGAAGCAGGCTCCAGGCTGTGAGCCGTCAGCACAGAGCCTGAGGCGGTGCTCGCACTCAGAAACCATGAGATCATGAGATCATGAAGTCGGACGCTTAACCAACTGAGTCACCCAGGCGCCCCGAG